GTCAAATCCGAAGAAAACTAAACATAATATACATCTATACACAATATCTCATAGTTACCTTTATTGTTCCATAATTTCAGATCCGATAATTTCGATCCGTAATCTCCTCATCAATAATATCACAGAGAAATTTTGGATTCCTTATTCGATCCAAAGTAATCGGTGAAACCCTAAGAGAAAATCCCTAAATTCCATATCTATTTACTCCCTCTTCTTCTTTGGTTATTTAGACTTATGTTCTCATTACCAAAAAAAAAATTGAGACTTATGTTCTTTCTTTTCTTTTACATATTCTATTTATGAATGCAAATGTGTTTTGGATCATTATGATTTTGAATCTTCTTTTCATTTCATAATCACTAGATTTTGTAAGAGTTTATCACTTAATTTTGAATATTCTTCTCATTACATATTGTCTAGGTACTTGACAAATTTGTTTGGGTTCGGATAATACCGGATCCGATCCGAATCCGAATAGACTTTGGTTAGGTAATGGATTTCATCTACGACACAAGATCCACACCAAACCCAAATGCAATCGATCCGATACCGATCCGAAACTTGTAATAATCCGAATGATATCTCTAACTCTCAATCCAAAAATCCAAAACTCCAAAAAACCCATACCGAATCCGACAATACATCCAAATGCCCACCCCTAAACTTAACCACTTGAATAGCATCGTCTACCTTGAGTATGTGTTTTATGCAACAAAATACACTAGCTAGAGAGTAGAACACAAACATAATCTTCTGATTTAAAAAAAAATAGAGTAGTGAAGTAGTTAACACAAAATTAGAAAGAATGTCCCATAAGCTCCTATTGACTAAGTCAATGTCTGAGAGCCGCTAGTTGTACTATGTGATTTTTTTGCTTTAGTTGCACTAAATAACTAGTTGTATCATGTCTATAGTTGTACCAAGTAGTACCTAGTAATACTATAATTGAAGATAGATATACCAAGTAATACCTAGTTATACCAAATCGGAGAGGAGTACGCCAGACAGGAGTACGAGCAGATTAGAGTAAATCAGACATTTGTCCCACAAAATTACTTGGGGCATTTACAAAAATACCACAAATCAAAACACACTTTGTAAGCGTGCCACCTCTGTGTGTGTTTTTACAAATCTGCCATATTTTTTTCCAAAAAAGATAATTTTGACCCATTAAAGAAATAAAACATTTATCTTTCCTTTTTTCTCTTTTTTTCTCTCTCTCTCCACGAAACCAAATCTAATTTTTTTCTTTTCTCTCTCTCTTTTCTCAGTAAAAATAGATCTAGATCTACTCTCTTTCTCTCTCTCAAACTTTTTAATGGTGGTGATGGTGTTGAAGAAGAAGAAAAACACATATCTAGATATGAATCTCTCTTTTTCTCTTTTCTGAGCAAAAG